GTGTCTTGGCATATTTCTCCTTCGATTTATCCTGTATGAGACTCTGTGCTTCCTGGAGTTGAGTAACTATTTCCTTTCCCATATTAGGGAAGTTTTCAACTATAATCTCTTCAAATATTTTCTCAGTCCCTTTCTTTTTCTCTTCTTCTTCTGGAACCCCTATAATTTGAATGTTGGTGCGTTTAATGTTGTCCCAGATGTCTCTGAGACTGTCCTCAGTTCTTTTCATTCTTTTTTCTTTATTCTGCTCTGCAGTAGTTATTTCCACTATTTTATCTTCCAGGTCACTTATCCATTCTTCTGCCTGTTATTCTGCTATTAATCCCATCTAGAGTATTTTTAATTTCATTTCTTGTATTGTTCATCGTTGTTTGTTTCATCTTTAGTTCTTTTAAGTCCTTGTTAAATGTTTCTTGCATTTTCTCTATTCTATTTCCAAGATATTGGATCATCTTTACTATCATTATTCTGAATTCTTTTTCAGGTAGACTGCCTATTTCCTCTTCATTTGTTAGGTCTGGTGTGTTTTTATCTTGCTCCTATATCTGATGTGTGTTTTTCTGTCTTCTCATTTTGCTTATCTTACTGTGTTTTGGGTCTCCTTTTTGCAGGCTGCACGTTCGTAGTTCCCTTTGTTTTTGGTGTCTGTCCCCAGTGGCTAAAGTTGTTTCAGTGGGTTGTGTAGGCTTCCAGGTGGAGGGCAGTAGTGACTGTGTTCTGGTGGATGAGGCTGGATCTTGTCTTTCTGGTAGGCAGGTCCACGTCTGTTGGTGTGTTTTGGGGTGTCTGTGGACTTACTATGATTTTTGGCAGCCTCTCTGCTAATGGGTGGGGTTGTGTTCCTGTCTTGCTAGTTGTTTGCCATAGGGTGTCCAGCACTGTAGCTTGCTGGTCGTTGAGTGATTCTGCGTGCTGTTGTTGAGATGGAGATCTCTGGGAGATTTTCGCCATTTGATATTACGTGGAGCTGGGAGGTCTCTTGTGGACCAGTGTCCTGAAGTTGGCTCTCCCACCTCAGAGGCACAGCACTGACTCCTGGCTGCAGCACCAAGAGCCTTTCATACACACATCCAGGTACGTGGGGACTTTCTTCCCTTTTGGGAGGTCTGAGGTCTTCTGCCAGTGTTCAGTAGGTGTTATGTAGGAGTTGTTCCACGTGTAGATGTATCGCTGGGCGGCGGGCGCAGGTGCCCGTTTGCGGGCTGCTCTGGGCTCCCGGCTCCCGGCGGCGCGGAGCGGCGAAGGAACCAGGAGGGCTGGCGGCCGGTCTGGGAATGTGGCGGCCGCGCAAGAACGGCCCATGGCCCTCACTTACCGCTCCAGTGCAGCCGTGACACGGGCCCATGCCCAGCACCCTCGGGTTCCGCCACAGCCGCTGGACACGCCACCGACCCGCACGGCTAAGCAGAGCTGGGCTCAGGCGGCAGCTCTCCCGCTCCAACTAACTCCCCAGAAGTATTGCTTGGTGTGCATTTCCAGGCTCTGCCTTCTTTCTCATCTCTTGGTGGCAGGTTGAGGAAAAGGAGAAAAGGTTAAACTTTTGAATAAACCGGCAGAATAAGCTTATAACATCCCCTCACTATCTCTGCATAGGTTGTAGTCTCTGCAGCACTACATAAGCTTTGCCCAAAGTAATGAACAGTTGAAAGTCAAATGTAATACTTCACCAAACAACTTAAAAATGCTTGCGCACTGGAAAGGATTAAGTTGCAGAGAACACAAATGGACCCAGAGCAACTTTTGCCAAAAGAGAATATTGTGCTAAATGTACAGCCATAGCTCTTTTCCATATGAAGAAACAGTCAGAAGGATAAAAGAACTTGGTCAAAATCACACAAGTAAGTAGGACAGAATCTGGTCTGTGTGTTGGAAGGGTTGTGTTCTTTAACCAGCAGGCTAGCTTTTCTCAAATCTGATTCATGCATAGAATAACTAAACACCTCTGTTTGCCTTGAATATTCCCTGTTTATACGTAGGGCTGCTGCAGTTTCTCATATTGCCCACTTTGACTCCCAAAAGCAACTGAGCATACACAATAATTTGGTCATTCTATCCATGGACCACTGTGGTGGGACTGCCCAGGAAGCTTATTAAAAGTGCAGCTTCCTGAGCCCTACTCCACATCTAGATAAGTTTTCTTAGGGTTGGCTCAAGAATCCAGGTACAAGTCTTTTTAAGTGCTTTTGTGGAACCCCCCAGGTGAGTCTCTCGCTCTCATAATTAATAAACCATTTATTCTGCCTCCCCCAGATGCCCAGCCACGTCCTATTAAGGTAGAAGTTCCCCCACCACATCAGAGGGATGCTCCCAGCCAAGTAATCTCTGGAGCCTTGGAGAATCTGAATGGTCTCATGCTGGCCCATCTGCCATGACAAAGCTCCTCCAGAGCATTCCCCTTCTCATTTTACATTCTACCACTCCCAAAGGCAGTCTGCTCCAATGGGGCCTGACTTCGTGTGTCCTAACATGCACCCGCTGATTCAAGCAGTTTAGGAATAGAAGGTGCTGTGGTTTTCAACCAGGGTGGCCCAACCTCTAAAATGGTAGTCGAAGCAGTCTCTACCTCCTGGGCACATCGCCTCTGCAACAGCCCCAGTAAACGAATGTCCCATCTATGCTTTTTCAAAGTCGGCAACAAGGAGTCCCCTCCTAAAGAAGGTTGTCTCTCATTGCCACACTATCAAAGGCTGCCCCAACTGTTCCTTACTGTGGGCCTGATAAGGCTGACGGCAGAGTTGTCTCTTTCCTTCTCTGAGCCGGCCCAAATCGTCTTAGAAACACCTCTTCACACTGTTGACCATGTTTTTCAATGGGAGCTGCTGCTGAGTCTTTATCTCATCCTTTCATGGTGGAGAGAGAGGATTCTAATGATTTTTACTTCTAGGGGAGAGGGGAGTGTAATGATTATGTTGTCATTTTCTATTATGTCCTTTTGTCATGAATTTGTTTTCAATTTCATGTTAAAATGGGCCCACCATTTCCACTTTGTGAGGTCATTCAGCACCCTCATTTTGCACCTTTAACATCACTCTCAGTATCACTTGGAAATATTTGAAATGGCATGAGCTTGTCCTCACATTCCTATTAGCTGTAAATCTGGAGCCCCGACATGAACCTAACCATTGAGCAGAACACCTCTCCACTACCTGTGTAACACTGGGTAGGCCCCTTAACCTCTTGGTTTTTTTAAGTCCTCAGTTGTAAAAATGTGAGGGTACTATGAATTTATATTTGGGGCACGACAAGGTCGAGAAGAGTGTGTCTTTTCCTTTATTCTTCCAAACTGGAATGTCTTCCCTCTCTTCCGCATGGGTCCAAATCTCACTTGTCCTTCAGGCCGACTGCCAAGGAGCCTTCCCTGATTCCCCAGGCCACACAAATCTCTGCCTCTTAGGGTCAGTGCCATACAACCTAGCTGTCTCTTACGTTAATTTTGTCTCTCAAGCCAAACTCAGAATATGGGTCTCTCTTGCCCTCCTGTGGCCCCTTGTGGCTGTGCCAGCCCACCGGCACGCCCCACGTGGGGTGTCTACTACACTAGGGCATGGGTGGGGAGGCCCAGGGTGAGGGGCGAGGCAGAGTACCTTTGCCTCTACCCTGTTCTCCTCCACAAAACTGTCCCTCCTCCTCAAGCCTGCCCCTCAAGTCAAAGGTTCCATATATGACCTCACTGGGTAGTGATGCCGTCACAGGCGTTCTCAGAGTTTCCATGGCAGCATAACTGTGCAAACGGGCTGCACTCAGAGAAACTTCTCTACCAGTTCTCCACCAGATACCAATCTTTTTGGCTGTCTGTGTGAGAATGTGTGACCGGATAGTGTATGTGTACTCTAACCTGTGCTCTGTTCCCTGGGTGGGCAGTGCAGCAGGTACACCCAGACAGGGCAACTCTACATGAGATATGATACACACACAACCTCACCTGGCTGGCACATGTTCCTGTGGGGGTTGCCAACTACGTACAGCTGAGCACTTTCCCAGATGTAAGTAATACCGGTGACCTGGGACGCCTTCAGGGACGCACAGTTCTCACTGCTGAGGACAAGTGAAAGGTCATCCCTGGACAAGTGTGCAGGACGGTTCTGAGCTTTATAAATGTAGCCTTACCCTTTGGGCTACAGGATGCTTCCATTCAGACCCTTTCCTGATTGGCCTCTTAACAAAAGACAAGTGCATTTTTGTTGGCAAATTGTAAATGGAGCGGTTTGAGGAACAGGGCCACTCTTGAACCGCACCTTCAAACCCAGGCACCACTGTGCTATCATGGAGACATCTATATCGGTCCCCTCAGACACATCCCTTACTGAGTTGCTGAGTACTAGGGGAGAGGGTGTTGCCATATTGATGGGAAGACCATAAGAACGAAGGGGGGGGGGTGATGAAGTGCTAATGAGACTGGAGGGCTGAGGAGATGGTGTCCCAGGAGGCTGGGTTGATGTGAGCCTAGACTTGTACCCAGAACCCGGTTCTGAGTCTCCTGATCACTCTGCCTCAGTATTTGTCCTTGTTCTAATCGACATAAAAGTATTAGACAGCTAGAGTTCAGTGTGGTTGAAATAGGCAGTATAAATGGGGCCCAAGAGGGGTTGCCAAGGTGGGCAGGGTTCTTAACAAATTTATATTAGATTATTTTTTTCCAAAACTTGAAAGACATTTCCATGAAAGCCTCAGAAGTGACAGACTGCAAGAAATGTTTTCTCTGTTGCGGAAGGGAGAGATGGAGAGGATCATGATTGCAATTACTTTCGGGTTCTACTGTTTTCCCTGGGAACGGTGAAGAGACTTCCTCATCTGCTGCAGCCCTAGGCTCTAGGGATTGCTTTTGCAGCCAGTGTCCCTTCTCTAGGGACTCATAGAGATGATGGGCCAAGGCTGTGTTTTGGACGTCAAGTAGATTAAAAGGTCTTCAGCCAGAAACTGGGAGAGACATGAGAGAGGGAAATTCTGGCAGGAGACTGTGCACAGCAGAAGTGACTGATCAGTTCTGATTTTCTTTGCAGCAGTAGTGCCTCCCGTTTCTCGTCCTACACCTGGTCACTACCATGTCCTGTACCACGGGTATGGAGAAACGCAGTTGGGCTGGCACGGGGAGACATACTGCCTGGTTGGTGGCTGCCGGCTCTACGGGGATGTTCCTTTGGCCACGCCAGCTAAGGTAGAAGCAGAGAAGCCAGTCCCCAGACGTGCTCCGAAGAGAAAGCACTCTCTGGAATGGTCGGACGAAGACCTGGGTTGCCCCAGACCCAAAATCCGGCGATTGGAGCTTTCAAGCAGCACAGGAATACAAGGTGCTTTGATTGTCAAGCAGGGTGGCCCAACCTCTGGGCACATCGCCTCTGCAAGAGCCACAGTAAACGAATGTCCCATATTTGCTCTTTCAAGGTCGGCAGCAGGGAGTCCCCTCCTAAAGAAGGTTCTCTCTCATTGCCACACTATCCAAGGTTGCCACAAATGTTCCTTCCTGTGGGCCTCATCAGGCTAAGGGCAGAGTTGTCTCTTTGCTTCTCTGAGTCGCACCATATGGTCTTAGTAACACCTCTTCACCCTGTTGACCATGTTTTTCACGGGGGCTGCTGCTGAGACTTTATCTCATCCTTTCATGGTAGAGAGAGAGAGGATTCTAATGAATTTTACTTCCACGGGAGAGGGGAGTGTTATGATTATGTTGTCATTTTCTATTATGTCCTTTTGTCATGAATTTCTTTTCAATTTCATGTTAAAATGGGCCCACCATTCCCACTTTGTGAGGTCATTCAGCACCCTCATTTTGCACCTTAACATCTCTCTCAGTATCACTTGGAAATGTTTGAAATGGCATGAGCTTGTCCTCACATTCCTATCAGCTGTAAATCCGGAGCCCCATCATGAACCTAACCATTGAACAGAACACCTCTCCACTACCTGTGTAACACCGGGTAGGCCCCTTAAGCTCCTGGTCTTTTTAAGCCCATAGTTGTAAAAATGTGAGGGTGCTATGAATTTATATTTGGGGCAGGACAAGGTAGAGAAGAGTGTGTCTTTGCTTTTATTCTTCCAAACTGGAATGTCTTCCCTCTCTTCCCCATGGAAGATGCTCCTTTGGCCATGCCAGCCAAGGTGGAAGCAGAGAAGCCAGTCCCCAGACGTGCTCCGAAGAGAAAGCACTCTCCGGAAATGCCGGACGAAGACCTGGGTTGCTCCAGACCCAAAATCCGGCAATTGTAGCATGGTGCCAGGAGGCGGACCCCACAGAATCTTGCAGGTGAGCCATCCTGAAGAGAAGGCAATGGTTTAAATGCCTAAGGCAGCGAATGCCTCTTCCTGCACTGACCCCCCCCCCCCCCACTGCCCACTGCCACAGATTAGAACCTGCATCGTTTTGTCTGAGCCATCCCCAGCCAGGAGCCTCCTCCTATACTAAATGGCCATAAGCCAGGAGCCTCAGAAACTGAGGTTTGTAATGAGAGTCTTCCCTGAACATCCCAGGGCTGAAGCTGGCCTGGAAGAAACCCTGACGTTCCTCTGCTTAATCCTCAGGGGCCCCTTTGTGAGCTGAAGAAAGAAAAGTCTAGAAAAAACGGATACCTGGGAGGGGAAGATGGCGGAAGAATAAGACGCGGAGATCACCTTCCTCCCCACAGATACACCAGAAATACATCTACACGTGGAACAACTCCTACAGAACACCTACTGAACGCTGGCAGAAGACCTCAGACCTCCCAAAAGGCAAGAAACTCCCCACATACCTGGGTAGGGCAAAAGAAAAAAAGAGAAAACAGAGACAAAAGAATAGGGACGGGACCTGCACCAGTGGGAGGGAGCTGTGAAGGAGGAAATGTTTCCACACACTAGGAATACCATTCCCTGGCGGGGACTGCGGGGTAGCTCTGGAACCTCAGAGGAGAGAGCAGCAACAGAGGTGCAGAGGCAGAGCGGAGAGATTCCCACACAGAGGATCGGTGCAGACCAGCACTCACCAGCCTGAGATGCTTGTCTGCTCACTCGCCGGGGCGGGTGGGGGCTGAGTGCTGAGGCTTGGTCTTCAGAGGTCAGAACCCAGGGAGAGGACTGGGGTTGACTGCATGAGGACAGCCGGGGGGCGGCTAGTGCGCCAGAGCTAGTTGGCAGAGAGTCTGGGAAAAAGCTGGGCCTGCCAGAGAGGCAAGAGACCTTTGTTGCGGGGTGCTTGAGGAGCGGCCCGCCATAGGAGCTTCCTGCTTCACACACTCACAGACAGTAGGGCAACACCTACGTAAGCACAAGCACAAGCCGTGGCTGTTATATCTGACCCCAGAGGCTGCCGTCCACCGCTGCTACCAAGAGTCCTGTGTGCAAGGCAGGTCACTGCCCACACCTTCCCAGCAGCCTGTGGAGCCCACCACTGCCGAGGGTGCTGCGATTGGGGCCAACTTCCCCAGGAGAATGCACAGCACGGCTCAGGCTCTTGCAGCTTCATGCTGGCCTCTGCCACAGCAGGCACTCCCTGCACATCCTGATTGTGATTGCCATATCCCTCCCTCTCCCCAGCCTAAGTGAGCAAGTGAGCCCTAATCAGCTGCTGCTTTCGCACCCTTTTTCCTGTGCAGCGAACAGATGTCTGAGGGCGGCCCACTCCCAGAGGTGGGGCCAAAACCAAAGCTAAACCCCAGGGGCTGTGCAACCAAAGAAGAGAAAGGGAAATCTCCCCGTGCAGCTGCAGAAGCAGTGGATTAAATCCCTGCAATCGGCTTGGCAAACCCTGCGTCTGTAGAATACCTGAATAGACAACAAGTTTTCCCACAATTGAGGCTGTGGGCTTTGGGGACAAGTACATGTGGGAGTAAGGTCAGATCAGTCTGAGCTTGCCCCACAGTGCCCACAGTAGGTCCAGAGACCTACCTAGAAGTACTGGAGGACTTCCTGTGGAGGCAGGGATTGGCTGTGGCTCACTATGTGGGCAAGGACACTGACAGCTAAGGCCACAGGAAAGTATCACTACTTTTTTTGTTGTTCAGTTGTTCTTTTTTTATTATTCTTTTAATTTTTTACTTTTTTATGCTTTTATTTTTAATATATTTCTATTCTATTTTTTCCTATTTCTATGGTAATTTTTCATTACACTGTTTTTTCCTTGTTTGTTTTTTCCTTTCTTTTGCTTTGTTTTCATTTTATTTTTAACTACATTTTTCTATTTTTACTTTACTACTTTGTTGTTTTATATGTTTTCCTTTTGTTTTCATCTTTCATCTTTGCATTTTTTTGATTTTTGTGGGTTAGTTTTATGCTTTCATCGCCTCTTTTTAGTTTGCTTTCTGCATTTGATGTGTTTCTGGTTTTATGTGTTTTGTAGTTTTTAGTGTTTGCTTTCATTTTTGGGTTTGTTTATTGATTTGGTTGCTCTCTTCTTTGTTTTTGCTTTTTTTTCTTTTCTTTTTGTGAGTACGTGTGTGTATGTTTCTTTATGTAATTTGTCTGTTTAGTTTTGCTTTTACCACTTGTCTTGGGGTTTTGTGTGTTCGTTTGTTTGGGTTTTTTGTTTGTTTGTTTTCTTCTTCCTTTTCTTCCACACCGTGTGGCTTGTAGGGTCTTGGTGCTCCAGCCGGGGGTCGGGCCTGAGCCTCCAAGGAGGGAGAGCTGAGTTCAGGATTTTGGACCACCAGAGAACTCCCAGCCCCATGGAATATTAATCGGTGAGAGCTCGCCCAGCAGTCTCCATCTTAACACAAAGACCTGGCTCCACCCAATGGCCAGCAAGCTCCAGTGCTGGATGCCTCATGACAAACAACTAGCAAGACAGGAACACAACCCCACCCATTACCAGACAGCCTGCCTAAAGTAATACTAAGCTCACAGACACCATAAAGCACACCACCAGAAGTGGCCCTGCCCATCAGAAGAACAAGATCTACCTCCACTCACAGAACGCAGGCACCAGTGCCCCCAACCAGGAAGCCTACACAAGCCAGTGGGGACAGACAACAGAAGTAAAAGGCACTATGACCCTGCAGCCTGCAGAAAGGAGACCCCAAACACAGTAAATTAAACAAAATGAGAAGACAGAGAAATATGCAGCAGATGAAAGAGCAAGGTAAAAACCCACCAGACCAAACAAATGAAGAGGAGATAGGCAGTCTACCTGAAAAAGAATCCAGAGTAATGCTAATAAAGATGATCCAAAATCTCAGAAAGAGAATGGAGAAAATACAAGAGACATTTAACAAGGACCTAGAAAATCTAAAGAACAAACAAACACTGTTGAACAACACAATAAATGAAATTAAAAATTCTCTAGAAGGAATCAATGGGAGACTAACTGAGGCAGAAGAACGGATAAGTGAGCTGAAAGATAGAATGGTGGAAATAACTGCTGTGAAGCTGAATAAAGAAAAAAGAATGAAAAGAATTGAGGACATCTATCATTGGACATTTAGGTTGTTTCCATGTCCTGGCTATTGTAAATAGTGCTGCAATGAACACTGGGGTACGTGTGTCCTTTTGAATTATGGTTTTCTCAGGGTATATGCCCAGTAATGGGATTTCTGGGTACAGATGAACCTATTTGAAGGGCAGGAATAGAGATGTAGAGGAAGAGAACTGACATGTAGACACAGTAGGGGAAGGAGAGGATGGGACGAACTGGGAGATTAGGTTTGACATAAATACACGACCATGTGTAAAATAGATAGCTAGTGGAAACCTGCTGTAGAGCACACGGAGCTCAGATCAGTGCTCTGTGATGACCTAGATGGGTGCGGGGAGGGGAGAAGGGTGGTCCAAGAGGGAGTGGATATAGGTATACGTATAGCGGATTCACTTCATTGTACAGCAGAAACTAACACAAAATTGTAAAGCAATTTTACTCCAATTAAAAAAAAGAATTGAGGACAGTCTCAGAGACCTCTGAGATAACATTAAATGCACCCACATTCGAATTATAGGGGTCCCAGAAGAAGAGAAAAAGCAAGGGTCTGAGAAAATATTTGAAGAGCTTATAGTCGAAAACTTCCCTAACATGAAAAGGAAATAGCCACCCAAGTCCAGGAAGCACACATTCCCGTATACGGTAAACAAGGAGAAGCACACCAAGACACATATTAAGCAAACTATCAAAAATTAAATGCAAAGAAAAAACATTAGCACATATTCCCATACACGGTAAACACAAGGAGAAGCACACCAAGACACATACTAATCAAACTGTCCAAAATTAAATGCAAAGAGAAAACATTAAAAGCAGCAAGGGAAAAGCAATTAATAACATACAAAGGAATCCCCATAAGGTTATCAGCTGATTTTGCAGCAGAAACTCTGCAGGCCAGATGGGAGTGACAGGATATATTTTAAATGACAAAAGAGAAAAACCTACAACCAAGATTACTCTAACCAGCAAGGATCTCATTCAGATTCAATGGAGAAATTAAAACCTTTACAGAGAAACAGAAGCTAAGAGAATTCAGCCCCATCGAACCAGTTCTACAACAAACGCTAAAGGAACTTCTCTAAGCGGGAAACATGAGAGAAGAAAAGGACCTACAAAAACAAACCCAAAACAATTAAGAAAATGGGAATAGGAACATACATATAGATAATTGCCTTAAATGTGAATGGATTAAATGCGCCAACCAAAAGACACAGACTAGCTGAATGGATATAAAAACAAGACCTGTATATATTCTGTCTGCAAGAGACCCACTTCCGACCTAGGGACACATACAGACTGAAAATGAGGGGATGGAAAAAGATATTCCACGCAAATGGACCTCAAAAGAAAGCTGGAGTAGCAATACACAAATCAGACAAAATAGACTTTAAAATAAAGACTATTACAAGAGATAATGAAGGATACTACATATTGATCAAGTGATCAATCCAAGAAGAAGAAATAACAATTGTAAATATTTATGCACCGAATATAGAAGCACCTGAATACATAAGGCAAATGCTAACAGCCATAAAAGGGGAAGTCGACAGTAACATGATAATAGTATGGAACCTTAACACCCCACTCACACCAATGGACGTATCATCCAAACAGAAAATAAATAAGGAAACGCAAGCTTTAAGTGACACATTAGACCAGACAGACTTAACTGATACTTATAGGACATTTCATCCAAAAACAACAGAATACACTTTCTTCTCAAGTGCACATGGAACATTCACCAGGATAGTTCACATCTTGGGTCACAAGTTAAGCCTAGGTAAATTTTAAAAAATTGAAATCATATCAAGCATCTTTTCTGACCACAACGCTATGAGACTAGATATAAATTACAGGAAAAAATCTGTAAAAAACACAAACACATGGAGGCTAAACAACACACTACTCAATAACCAAGAGATCACTTAAGGAATCAAAGATGAAATCAAAAAATACCTAGAAAAAAATGACAATGGAAACAGGATGACCCAAAATCTGTGGGATGCAGCAAAAGCAGTTCTAAGAGGGAAGTTTACAGCAATACAATCCTACCTCAAGAAGCAAGAAAAATCTCAAATAAACAACCTAACCTTACACCTAAAGCAATCAGAGAAAGAAGGAAAAAAAATACCCCAAAGTTAGCAGAAGGAAAGAAATCATAAAGAT